TAGATACAACCAGGGAGAGAGTAGAGCAGAAATTGGAGAGATGGAGGAGAGCGATGGAGGACAGAGGACTTAAGGTCAGTAGAGAGAAGACGGAGTATATGGTTTTTAATGGAGAAGAGGAAATGGGGGATGTTACTTTACTTAATGATAAACTTAAAAGGGTATACACCTTTAAGTATCTTGGGTCCTATGTGGCATCAAACGGTACACTCGACTCTGAAATAAGCCATAGAATTCAGTCGTTTTCCCTCCTCATCACGTGCCCATACTACTGCAATCTTCTCTCCTGAACTTTCTTCGATATTTCCACCACTTTAGTTGTTCCTCGAATCCTTTCGTTTCTAATCCTATCAAGCCTCGTCACTCCACACATCCATCTCAACGGTTTCATCTCGACTACTTCTAATTTCTTCTCTTGAGCCTTTTTGATGGGCCAGGCTTCCGCTCTGTACACCATCGCAGGTCTCACAACGGTTTTATAGACTTTTCCTTTCACCCTTGCGCTGATCTTATTGTCGCATAGCACTCCCGACGCATTTTTCCAATTTCTCCATCAATGATTATATAGGCAAGAGGGTTTTGGATATGGAGGTGGAGGGGAGAAGAAAGAGAGGAAGACCAAGCAGAAGATGGAAGGATTGCGTGGATGGAGATATTAGAAAGACATTGTTGGGGACGAATACGAAGACCGAGGAGAGTGGAAACTTGCTGTCAAAAATAGCGACCCCGTATAGACACGAGAAAAGCTACAGAAGAAGAAGAAATCTTCAAGCTTACCAATGAATAAAAAAAGGGACGAAGAGCAGCTATTAACCCTTTGACTTAGTTTGTAGAGCATTCGCTCGACGTGTGAAAGGTTTTGCATTTGCTCCAAAACAGTGGAAGAACCTTTCTTCTAGACCATGCTTGAAATATTTAATGTGATATTAACTTTCTAAATGATTTCTAAGAGATTTTTGACAACAGATTCCAACAGTTTACCAACAATAGCAGTAAAATTAATTAGGTTATAATTTCGCAGATCTTCCTCAGACTCAGTTAGAAAACTAGAGGTCACATTGACAATCTTCCAATTACCAGTAACTGCCTTGGTCATAGAGTCAAAAAATTCTGAAACATAACGGCTAACTCTCTATTAATTCGATCAGTGTTTAAATATAAATATTACCAAGGCCAAGAGCCCTGAATAGTTGAAACTGATGTCTACAGCAGAAGGTATGCGAATCAAGGAATGCATTAGGCCTGTACCTCATAGGTTAGATTTTCAATTTTACTTTTGGTGAAAAAGAAAATAAATCTGTTACGTAAACATTAAACAATTCATCCGCTGTATAATATCGAATAATAAATTGGACATAGTGTCATAATATTATTCACATACCTAAATTAATCGAGTTTACTATATGGTGATTTAAAAAGGGCTCATAAATCACATAAATAAGGCCAAGGGCTTTATTCTCAAGCTTTTTAAAGTATCTACTTCTCCGAAAATATATAACTTAAGAAAAAGACTTTTCCACCCTTAAGGAGACTGGTGAGCTTAGGAATGTCTTCCTCACCCCCACCAGTACAAACACTCTTAAGCATTTTAAAATCATTTTAGCCATATTTCCTTCTTCTATAATGATAATCCTTTTGAAATATCTTAAAGGACCTGTATTATCTTGAATATACTTTTAAAAACTCATCACGTCAACTTTGATGTTCTGAACCAAGAAACTTTCAGAATTATTCTTAATATTAACGATAGACTTTAGAACTATTTTTTGTTTATTTCTGTAAGCTTCTGTTTCCTTCATTGTTTAAATTGATATTATGTTGTTGTTTTTTCTGTTTAATTAGGAATTTTCGATTTATTGGAAGTTTGATTCCTTTATTCATATTCATCTATTAAGGAGAAGCTTTCGACTGAAATGCAAACACTTTGAAAGAATATATTAATTTTCAGCGAAGAAGACAGATTATCTCAATACATTATCCTAAAATCAAAGTTTTCCATAAAAAGCAATTTTTTATTGGCAGCATAACTGATGTGACATTACATAATTATATCAATGTTAAAAATTTGTTTATTTATTTTGAATTTCGCGCTAGCCTTCCATAAGTTAGCAGTCGTAGGTTAGAGGGAAGACATCTAGTCAACACCACCCACCGTCAACTTTTGGACTACTCTTTAACCAACGAATAGTAGGATTGACAGTCATATTATGACGACCCCACGACTGAAAGGCATGTTTGATGATGGGGATTCGAATTCGGGATTCTCAGATTGCGAGTTGAGGGCCTTAACAACCAGGCCTTAAAAACTTGTTTAGACAGCCTATAGAAGATGACAATCAAATTAATCCTCCTTCCATATTTTTAGGCACAAGCCCGCCGACGGGGGGTGGGGGCAAAAGGGCAACTGTCCAGGGGCCCGGGCGAATGAAACCTGGTTATGCCGTAAAGCCCACAAAGCATCTTTAGGCTATATCTTCATTTAATGATAAAAACCGGACACATGATACATTGAGAACGACTGAAATAATAATTTGAGTAATAATTAATATTGTTACGTCTCCGTTTGTTAATTAACTTTCCGTAACTTCGTTCCGACGAAACTTTAGCGACACAAGTCCTTACTTAATAAAACTGGTTTATTCTTTCTGAATATAACTTTACGATACATTCAACTTCAACAGTCGCGCTATAACAAACTGTAACGAACGAACGTTAACTTCAACAATACCCTGTGACTGCAGATCAATTACTCACTACCTACACACTCATTGTCGCGTCACGCCGTCACCCTCTTATATATATACCAGACTACCCTATATCTAGTAAATGCTAGGGCATTCACGAAGGAACAAGATAGTTCTAGAAACGTGGCATGACACTAGTCACGTGACCACGCTGATGCAACAATATGTATTTGTTACTTTATAGATTTAATATATATTTGTTGTTATTTTATTAACGTTTTTACGCTTATACTGTGAGGTAAAAA